TCATTAGAGAACGTACATTGTGAGATTTTACATATTAATTAAAGGGAATTAGAATATTCAAAACCCGAACTTTCATATTATATTGTTATGAAAGTGCACGTAATAGAATGAATTTGATGACATGTTTCGGATATCTCCTTCTCATAGAGAGGAGAACCAAGAATTTCCATCTGTTGCAAAATCATTGCTGCTTTCATCTGCATTTGCGTTGTTGCGTGAGAGACGAGCAACCATGTAAATGGATAATAAAACAATTGCTCTGAAGATAAAAATAAATATAAGAACATTTTAATAACGACAAAACATAACATAGATTCCTTCTTCAAAGTTTTTGTGGCCTATTTTGACCATTATGGATGTAAATTATAATTTACCCAACTATTGAAAAGTATCCTACGCCCATCACTCCGTATTCTTTTCTCGGGCATAATGCAGGCCCAGAAAGTATGAAGTTCTGTAAATTGAAATACATGATTTATTTATGTTATGCCTCTTTATGTAAATTTATCAAACTCCGCACCAAATTTTCTACTCACATGATTGGCGATTGTTGCATCAAAACCCAGTGCTGTGATGTTGTCAATGCGGGCCTGTGGATCACACACAATCTTCACCGTGAATGTTCTTGATATAAAAATATATTTATGTACTAAATATGATCATATCATTGATGCTTTTTTGTATTGATAGGATTACAAAGACATAGATAAATAAAAGATATCTAAGATTTATTAAGCGATATACTGGAATTTACTTCATTGATCCGAGTCGCAATATGCTGGAAGTGTGAGACCATTTCTCTTCACGGGCGAATTACACAAAGCGATATTTCAAAAAACAATTCCTACTTTGCGATATTTGGTGCCTCGCGGTTTTACGTGTATGCAAAATCATAATCTTACTTTTTATAACCAACATAAAAATTTCATAGATGTTGGTTTGATTTACGAGAGACTATCTTTATATATATATATACCTTTTTTCTGCTATCTATTCTATCTGATTCTGAAGTCTTGTACACTAACACAAATATAACCTGAATAACTTACAATTCTTTACAGCTGGATTTATAGCTAATTGAATATGTTTTCAATATTGACATTTCATCAACACGACACTAATGAAATATATTTTTTTGATCCGACCCAGTTCTCTTCAACACCGCATATATACTTGTGGGTATAGAACTGAAACTATACTTACAAAATGCTTACATACTGGTTCGACGTGTAAAACACAACCAGAGATCCGTTTTTGTCAAGTTTCCAAGTACTTTTTTTTGTTTACCAAGATCATAATAATTATGCAGATATTCGCTATACATGATGGTCTGAAATATAATAATAAATTACTGAGGCACGTACAATGAGTAAATGTAACTCCCGATACTGGAGTATGGTGGCCCATCGTTGTCACGTGTAAAATTTTAAAAAAAAATGAAAAAATAAAATGAAAAAGCGAAAATAAAAAAATAGTTGTGAAAAAACATGAAAATAATTGAAAAAAAAAATAAAAAAAATTTAAATTAAAAAAAAAATTGAAAAATAAAACAAACAAAAAAATTTAAAAAAAAATTAAAATTAAAAAAAAAAATAAAAAAAAAAAAAATTTGAAAAAAAAATTGGATAAAAAGAAAATAAAAAGGTTGACAACGATGGTCCGCCTCGTGGCCCATCGTTGTCACGCGTTTTTATTTTTAGAAAATTTGATGCTGCTTGGGACCAACGTTGTCAGACTTAATCCTACACGCACAAATGTGTTTCCTGGGTTTCTAACTCACTACTGATTTTCATGACCAATATCCAATAAATTCAACATGAAAATGTTCTACAAATTCTCCATGCTACAAGTTCAACCACAAGCAATATATTTATAATAAGGATAAGAGAATATAGAATTGGATACGAAAATTTGTTTTTACGTGTAGAAGGTAATTTAATTGGAAAATGCTGCTTAACTGCTCAGACACTCGTGCGATGCCGGTACGGTATCGTCTGACCGTACCGGTACCCATGCAATCACTCGTGAAAGAATGGGAGATGATGAGTGATTGTATGGCTACCGGTACGGTCAGACGCAAAGCGACTATAACCGACTACCGGTATTTGGTAAGACGGTACCGGCATCGCGAGTGTCCAGACAACTGAGTAGTTAAGCAGCATTCTCCAATTAAATTACCTTATACACGTAAAAACAAATTTTCCGAATTTTCGTATTCAATTCTATATTCTCTTATCATTATTATAAATATATTACTTCTTGTTGAACTTGTAGCATGGAGAATTTATAGAACATTTTCATATTGAATATTGCTCAAGAAAATCAGTAGTGAGTTTGAAACCCAGGGAACACATTTGTGCGCGTAGGATTATGCCTGACAACGTTGGTCCCAAGCAGGAGCAAATTTTCTAAAAATAAAAACGCGTGACAACGATGGGCCACGAGGCGGACCATCGTTGTCAACCTTTTTATTTTCTTTTTATTCATTTTTTTTTTTCAATTTTTTTTTTTTTAATTTTTTTTTTTTTTTTCGTTTTTATTTATTTATTTATTTTTTAATTTTAATTTTTTTTTTTCATTTTTTTTTAATTATTTTTATGTTTTTTTACAAAAAATTTTTTATTATCGGTTTTTTATTTTATTTTTTATTTTTATTTTCAATTTTACGCGTGACAACGATGGGCCACCATACTGGAGCGTCTGTGCAATATCGTCATAAAAATTTAAAAATATCCGGTTCAATTTTTACAAGCCACTAATGTTACTATCGCCAAAATGGCTACTCCTGAAAACGATTTTTTCTTATCAGATAATAAAATTAACATCCGTATAACGTAAAGAAGATTATTAAACTTAACATTTGGCCTTACCGCAAGTCCAGATACTGAACCCTCGATAGACGTGAATTCGTAACAAGGATTATACTCGTAGACATAAGGACCTCCGCGTGGATTTGGTCTGTGATATCTAAAGGTAAATATTTGTAAAATGCTCCTGTTTTAATACATCCGTACACTTTGTATGTTAGTTAGAATATTGCATGATTCTGCGTAATACAGTTTTTTTGACAACATAGCCAGCAAACAAGATCCAAAAAGTGCGTAGAAAGAACCAAAAATAACAAAGCGTCTTGCAGTCGGTTAGAAGGGGTAATGGATTCGAATAGCCTCCTTTGTAAAAGATCACTGGACTTTTTACACTGGAACTTCAATGTTGTCAGAAGTGTATCGAAGGCTCTGTAGATAAAAAGCTTTTGTAGACTAATAGCATATCGTCACGCTAATAACTGAATTGCGTAAGTCATTTTTGGCGATTTTGAGTTTTTTTTTATAAAATAGGTATTTATGTAATGCTGCGCACCTGCCTGTTAACTCAGATTTTATTTTAAGAATTCCGAAACCCATAAAAAAGGAGATTTAGTATGACATGCACATTTATGCAATTGTTTCGTCATAATGAATTATCATTATTGTGACGTCACAAAGACAAAATTACCTCGGCGAAGTATTTTCGTGTTTTTGCATCTCGGATTCTGGCTTAGCGCGAATTAATTTGAATTAATACCACAGTATAGGAAGACGTGCACTTGTGATATTCACTGTCCGAGTCCAACTCACCTTGGTTGGCTTTTATATTGGATGCATTGCTGTTTTATTCTTTATATTTAATCTTAGTCTTATTTCGGTGGGTGTGCAGAAGGTGTTATATTGATGAAATATATATTTTCAAACATAAAAAATAATGTAATTGAAACTGATTAGCTGTTTTGGGGATTAGACATTGCAGATACTGAGAATTACATTCGTTTTTAGAATGTTAAGTTTTCAGGACTGGTGAATATAGTAAAGTTGCAAAATTGCGTGTGTTCCCAAGTCATAGACAGATTTCTGCCTAAGTCACAGTGCGCCATTATGACGTCACTTAACTGCGTCATACAAATTAACTCAAATCCGGCTACGATCAAAAAATTGAATCATGGCAAATTATTGACTCTCGAGGGCCTAACAATATCGTTAGGAAGTTTTTTACGTTTTTTTCAAAACTGCAAAAAATGATTTACGCAATTCGGTTATTAGCGTGACGATATTATAATACAATGAGGAAGCGTTCCGGATTTTGAGATCACATTTCGGCGCTCCAGAAGTGTGTGTACCAATATGGAGGTTTCTAATTTTGTTCGACTTCTTTAGATCAAGTTGTGTAAAGGGACTGGAACCTATGGACAGGTGGTATATTCACTTGGCCAACACAGACAGTGCCCGAACTCGTAATAGAACTAAAATAAAGAAAATCGGAATGAAATTATGACCCAACCCTAACCGGGTACACACCCTACGGGAGTACCCACTTCTCAACCTGAATAGTCAACCTGGATTCGCTAAGTTATAGGCTGTCTATTGATCCATGGTATATATATATCCAAGATATATAACTATAATCTTAGGCTTAGTAAAAAATAAAGTCTTACTTACAACGCCGTCAGATTTGTATTTCCAAACGTGATATCAATAACTCCGGACCCGTTAACTAAATCACATTTACAAGTATCTTTGTCATTGTTTTTGCATATGGTCTGTGTAAGCCCAAGTCCGCAACAAAAAATAACAAGAACGGTGGCAACATTTTCTTTCAATTGCATTTTAAGTAAAAATCACTTTAAAATTCATCCACAAACTACATGAAATTCAAATCAACTAAAATCTCTTATGTAACAGTTTTGTTTGCTGTTCGTTTCATTATTCAGCGATGTTTAATTGGATTGCGGTTTGATAAACAAACGCATTCTTAGTGGTTTAGCAAAGATTAGTCTAGTCGTGGGCAAAGTACCAACTCGATAAGTCATACTGACAAGCCCGAGTTTAAATGTTCTGTTTAAATAATGTTTTCCGGGGCCGTAAACAGGAGACCCTTAGTCGTAAAGAACGTAAAGAACCAGCGAACGGATTAAAATAACTTCAAACGTCCACAACACTTTCACCCATAACGTATGAAACATATAATCAACTGGTTATAGCTTATAGTTGTTTCCATGATCATTGTTATCCAAACAGTTTTCAAGTCTCGTGTCATGAACTGATATAATTAATATATATTTTCAATAAATCTTGGCACTTCATTCATATCCCATACCTTGCTCCCTTACTCCTGAGTGAGTACTGCGCGTGAATGAAAAAGAAAATGGCAAAACTTGAGTAGACTATGTTCAAATGTCATTTGTCATACTCTAAATACGAGTTTTGAAAATTGCAACATCGAAAAACAGTCGCAAACTTGATCATCAACTGGCGACTTCAGTGAAGGTTCATATCGTTACCGTGTTGTATTTTAAACTTTCGGATTAGAACGATGAGAACGAAACTGTTCAATGTTTCTGAAATGAGAAAATATGATCAAATAGAAGTTGAATAAAATCGATTATTATGCCGAAAAGGAGATTACTTTTGTTCGATTACTTCTTCTAAAATGGCTATGTAATGCCTACTAATACTGTTTTATTTCAATTCAATTGACGAAAATGAGTATAGAAAGGCGTATGAATAACATATGCATGGCACGTGCATACCGTTTACTCCGAAGCAAAAATTATTTCCAGTTCAATACAACAGATTTTATTTGTATACATGCATATAATTTTCCTTATGTGTCTATGTAGTTATATTAAATAAATTGAAAGAGAAACGGCTTCAAAACCTTTCTTTCATTTGCTCGGTTGCTGAAAAAATACGTTTCTGTATTTCACAAAGTTGTTTGTTCAGTATTTGAAAATCTTCACTGCTTGGGTCAAGTGCCGAAAGACTTTGCTGTAGCTCTTTACTTGCTTCACGCAATTCCCCAACAGTATTGTATAACTCTTCATCTTCTTTCTGAACGTCAGAATAAAAAATGTCAGTTTAAAATTTTCAATTTGAGGTACTAAAATCAGAACGTGCGTTCGTAAATGTTCACCTTCAAATTTCTTATTGCAATGTGAACCAATAACGACGCCAATTCTAATTCTTCACTGAAAAGGTTTTTTAATGGCACCGATCTAAATCCTGAAAACAATAGAATAGAGAAATTAGAAAATATAAATATAATTTTTCAAACCAGCATGTTAGTTTGTTCTGCAGTTAACAAGACACGTGTACACTCTGGTTTTGATAGAAATTTGCAAGGGAATGGAATTCTTCATAGAAAAAATTATGACAAATAACCTTATTTTCCCATTTACCAACCTGTTCTTAGACAACGCACTGGCAAGGTACACTGAGCTATAAGATTGGGATCTCCAAACATATCTTGATCAAAAACTGCAAACCGTATTAAAGACTGCACTGGGCAGTGAATTGCAAACTCGAATGATTCTTGAAATACCGGATTTAACCCATTTTCATCTGTGTAAAAATACTTTCATTAAAGTCGATGGTTTTGTATGAGGCACATCCTTTTAAACAAAACACATATTTTTCTTGCCTTGTTTTGCTGTTTTAAATTTCTGACAGTCGTATTCACATCCTAATATTTCGACTTCAACAAATGGACAAGATATACCTCGCCCAGACTTTGGCAAATGTCGTCCTGCAATAATCTATAACAAATCATCCTCTTTTAAATGTGCTTCACATCGAAGACAAACAAAAAAATTATAATATTTGTTGGAATATTAAAAATTATTCACAGATATAAAAAAAGAAATACGTACTTGTACGTTAATTACCAGTGGATCAACGTCAAGAAGATGTTTTTTCAGATACGGATTGTAATTTGAGTCAGAAAATATTAATGGTTTGAGAACAAATCCACATTGGCCGTTTTCAGAAAATCTCGCTTGATTTAACTGCATTGATTTATCTGAAGTGAAAATACTTATATATGAAATACTTTTTATTTTATTATTTTTAGAATCAATAGTTAATCAATTGAATAGAAAACTGTGATACGTTACCGGGAGTTTGAAAGTTTAACGCAACAAGCTGACATCCACAGTTCCACATTGGAATCGGATTATAATTAGACGAATCGACTCGAGCTCCTTTTGGATATATTCTTGAAAGTTGCCGTTGATTGTATGAAATGAATTGATGAGCTTTCTCCCGGCATGCAAGTCTTTCTGCCTTGTTCTCGGGAAAAGATGACATTTCGTATGGGGAACCATTCTCTAAAAATAAACATGTCTAACAAAATGCACTTGGCAATGTTCAAAATTACCAAACGCAAAAAGTAAAGCACTCAGTAAGATGCACTTTAGGACTACAACTATACAGAGCATAAATGCTTTAAATTGAAACTAAAATGTAAAAATGAAAACCAACTGAAAATACTTTTTTTTCAGATGTAATTATTGTGTCAATATAAAAGTTAGATAAAATCATTTCATCTACTGTTTTGAAAAAGCTTATATTTAGATTGAAACATAAATCTTTATTATTTATTTATACATAGTCAAACGAGTTAATGGAGTAAATGAAGTCCGACTCCGGGGATGTTTCATGTAAGATATAGTTTTTACAGGTGTAGGAAAGACCACATACGTTTAGTAAATCTATCTTCTATAAAAGCAACTAGTTGGCAAAAGATAACAAGAAAATACTTTTTTTTAGATGTAATTATTGTGTCAATATAAAAGCTAGATAAAATCATTTCATCTACTGTTTTGGAAAATATGATTTTGGACGATTACTGAATTGCTTATATTTAGATTAAAACATAAAGCTTTACTATTTATACATAAAAATAACATAATCTCTTTCCACGAAATATCAAGTAACTTAACTTCTTCAGATAAAACAAGATATGGCTTAATCAAAACAGCAACAATAATAATAATATTTATACATAGTCAGGAACGAGTTAATGGAGTAAATGGAGTCCGACTCCGGGGATGTTTCATGTAAGATAAAGTTTGTACAGGTGTAGGAAAGACCTCATACGTTTAGTGAATCTCTCTTCTTTAAAAGCAACTGGTTGGCAATAGATAACAAGATCGGATATTTCAACTGCGATTCTTTTGTGTATCTCAATGTCTTTCTTTTTCTTTGTCTGAAGTGAAGGCATATGCACATTTAAACCACATCGGCATAGATGTAGTGCAGTGCAGTAACGGACAAAATTAATGTTTCCGTATTTCAAAAGAAACGTTACGAGTACTCAATTCAAGTACAAGTTTATAATAATTATATATATGGAGATGACAGCACATTTGCACCCACAGATGTTTTCACTCAAGTACATTTACACCCGCGGTCATTTGAATTCATGGATATTTGCTCCCAAGATTATCCTTAACTCACGAATATTTTTATTTCAGAAATATTTTATTTCTTCATTATATAAATTGAAAATCAAGACCGCTTACAAATTGTAAGTATAATTAGTTATAGCCATTACAAGTAATGGTATGGTAATGATTCTCTTCAATTCAATGTACAGATATTTGGAAAGAAATGGACGCGGGTTTGCAGGCTATATAATTTAGTGCTTAGATTTATATAGCAAGAATGTTTGTATAGTACCTGGCTATCGTTTTTCTCAATTGCCTCTTTTACATAGTAAATCCAGGATAGCATGTCTTCGTTAGTTTCCGCAGCGAGATCGTAATCAGACAAATGTCCCGCGCATTTCAAACGAAAATGAAATCTCCGCATTTCTTTTCCAGCTGGTACATTTTCTGAATAACATGTTTGTGTCAACCACAGTCTACTTATATTACTATCGAAAAAGAAACATATGTCAGAAATATTCTGCCGCTTCCGCGGTGCTTGCAACAATCATATCAATACTTTTTCGTGGAATCGGAAATTTTCTTCGGGCAAAAGCCTGTGAGAACGCTGTGAAATAACTGGTTTAATTTACTACAGCATTGAAATTATTTATAAACACTCACCAACTGTCGCCCTGGCAAGATCAATCCATCCTTTTTGCAACTCTCCGAGCAAATTCACAACCTAATTAAATTACTAAATCGTCAGACTTACATAAAAATCCCAGAAAATCTTAGATTTTGTGTCAGCCCTGTTACTGAAGAATTACATGATCTATTCAAATCTAAAGTTTCTGAGCTCGAAAATTTGTTCTTATCGACGAAATATGACTTTACTCGGCTAGTTTCATGAAAGTTACAACCGAGCAAATATATGGACTCGACGGCCACATAACTGTGTCAAGGAGACTATATCGGGGTGAGATAACCATATTTTCAACGGCAGTGTGGCGCGAAATTTCTTACATGTCACCATTTATCTTATTCGTTTTCATGTTCGTGTTTCCCAGTGTATATTCTATTGTATCAGTCTGCTAAACTTTGGCGAATGAGGCTGACAGGCATGACTCGTCGTCGCATACAAATCGCTACCGGTAACTGGTGAGGCCCAGCAACGAGTTCTCTGAACAACATGATGGACAAGCGTCCCAAATCTAAATCCATTGACACATTACTTGAGACTAAGCAATTTTACCCCAATACGTCGCCCCTACATCAAGACTGACAACAACATTTTAGCAAAACGAGCGGTATGGACACTTCTAATAACGGAAGAAGCTTTACCTCCGCAAATGTTTCTAATCGACAAGACCAGCTTCCGTCTATCGTCGTTTGTCAAATTTTATGTTGAAAGTATATCCAATACTTCGTGAATTACTTTTATGACTTAGACTGAATAGACTACAATATACAACTACTTCAGCAGAGCCATTCCACCATTTGGAAAAACCACACAAAATTTGTAATTAGTACATTTGCATAGTATCAGAGAGTAAGTATAATATAATTAGAGTTAAACCCACATTTTCTGATTCGTTTGCCGTTTCTTGTGATAGGATTTCCTCAACGAAATTACTGGGAAACCAAGCTCCTTTTTTTCCACCATAGTCTCCGCGCCACCTATAGTTCAAAACTGGTTTTACTTTTCCGCATAAAAATTGCGTTGAAGGGCAAGTATAAAATAAGAACTCAATTCGCATTTACGAGGTCCTAATATTTTAAAAACAATTCAGTAGAATATTAGGATTTCTGTCGGTCTGTAATTCACGCTGCAGACTGGGTTCTTTCTCAAAGAATGTTTTGGACAAATAAAAAAAAATTGTATAGTACATTTACGCAAGACAAACTAACTAACATTGTGTGTACGAACAAGTGGTTGAGACGCAATTGCCAAACGGTCGTTTGTATTCCTGCGCGTTGGTCTTGTTCGATCTCAGATGTGAGTACCGCTTTCAAATTTGACGATAACAAGAATCTTATATCTTACCATCCCCCATCGTCCTTTACTACGTTCGAAATTATGGCATGTTTACAAAATGAAAGTTCATCTTCACGATCGGCATGATAATCGAAAAGTGATTTCACAGTTACCGTGAATGGATTTGCCTGAACATAGACCAAATTTCCGTTTTTTTGCTCATATAGCTCTGCATCCTAAAACAACAAAATATTTATTTTGCCATTTCCACTGTGTAAAAGAACATATATATATATAAATATTAACGCAGGTTTAATTTGTACTTCTCATCGCAACTCACAAAAATTGAGTTACCGTTTTGCAAACGAAATGGACACATGTAAATTTTTTCACACGATATGCATATTAACCTATAGTCCCTATAATATTAAATATTCACTTGTAAACTTTCGATGATTTCCCTCGTGACAGGATATCTCAACTTCGTGTTTTTATAAAGCGAGTTCTTTCCGTAAAATATGACGATGTCACACAAAGTTTCGAAATTTCCATTCCCGATTCTGTACAATCTTCCATCCACGTCAACTTTGCAATGTTTAACATTTCCCTTTGCTCTGAGAATTTGAAAAAAAGTTTCGTAATCATCATGTATGGTTTAGATACAAGTGCGAAGTTTTTCTAAACTATGTCAACCTGGTCTAATACACTGAGAAAGTTTAAAACATTGACTACAGAATATCTCTTCTCTTTTCAATCACTAAAATAAAAATAAATTTACAGCGAGTGAATTTTTAATGATTATTAGTGAACATACAATAACCTGAAAGATATGGTGTAACCGACTGTGTTGAGTTCACGTTTACCACTTTTTCGAACAAGAAATACATCATCCTTATCCATGCGCATCAAAATAGTTTCTGCGGTGGAACGATCAAGGTGTTCGTAGTACCATCTATACATGAATGTATCGAAATTAACTTGAGCATTGTGGTAAGTTGTGGCTGCTCGACAACCATTTTCAAAATTATACACTTGTTCACGAATATTCTACTGGCGAGAATTTTACCAAACATTTCGCAAAACAATTACCAATGAGAGTCAATTCTTGCATCATTTTTTATACATTTTGTGCAGGCTCTTGCATCCAAGTAGTTAGGTGATTTGTACTCATTTGTGTATACCTTGTCGAGGTTATTTTGGCACTGGCGAAAACGAGATTCAGGCACATTGCAACGTTCAGTGAGTTTATATCATCCACACTCACTAAAACCAGTTATCGTTTCCCCCTATTCACAAGTCTTTCATCTAATGTAACTAAATTAATCAGATTTTCCAGTGTTATATCAATACTCACCCTTTGCTGATATGGGCATTTGTCTGTGGTACTGCATCAGTAAGAAGCAATTCGAATCCAATCGATTCGTTTTTTAGAGGCTCGTGAAGATAATGACATATAAGACTATAAAGGCTGTCGAAATGGTTTTCTGATACGAGATAATATTCTATCAAACCTCCGACCAGTTGTTGGGAATGAATTCGACAGTGATGAACTCTTCCCTTGAACCTGACATAAAACAAAAATTTTGCATAACCCCTTTATTCACTATTACTTTAAGATTGAATGATCATATAAATAAAATTATCAAATATATCTGATTTGTGTAATTTTATATACTGAAAAAGCTACAGTTAAATATAATATTTCAGTGGTATGACAGTCAAGACATTTTTTCATGCTCTTTCGAATACTGCTTTTTTTTTATCTTGTCATCCATCAGCACAAATAATTAGTTGATCAACTTAATACCGAACGCAAGAAAGCCTTATTTAAGTTACCAAAATGAAAGAGTGTAATTTCCAATGAAGGTTGAACTATCTCGAACTACAAAACTGCCGTCAGGACCAGCATATTCTCGCAGCAGCCTCTCAATTGAGCTTCGATCTTTGGATCCATGATACCAATTTTCAGAATAGTGGAGTTCAGAAATTGCAGAAGTCAACTGAAAGAAAATAGAAAACTTCATTACTTTCTAGGGCAGACATGGGCGAAGAACGGCCCGCGGGCCAAATCCATCCCGCTAGGTAATTCAATCTGTCCGCGCGGTGCTGCCACGACCACACTGAAACCAAATTTTGATGTTTTAGTTAAAAATAGCTCAAAGGATTGGTTGAGATTGCGGTTTAATTTAGTTTTGGTACGAAGTTTATTGTTTTCCATAGTTGCTTTTGTAACACTGTAAACATTGTTCATAAAATGTAACTCTTTACGTCATACATACATTGCCCGCCAGTATAGGTAGGCAAAACTTATCGCCGCTGATCCAAAAACCGACTCCCCCCCCTCCCCCCTGATCTAAGAGGTAGTATCCTTTTGTTATTTGTGGGGTGTATTAGTTTTCTCATCATTCTGCGAAATTGACGATCGTAATATCGCTGTAACTGCGTATGTGACACTAAATAATCTCAATAATACAAAAACCAATTTTTGTTTAACTAAAACAATTATTTATACACTCACATTTTTGGACGAATCGTTCCCATGGTTGTTAGACTCTAGGTTTTCAATGGTATCGTCAAAACCGAAGTTTGGTCTTTCGCCATAAACCAATTTGTTTTCAACCAAAACAAAATAATGTAATATCCATTCCTTTGAAAATTTATTAATTTATTATAAAAATCAATTATTAGCATAGTCACATAACAGTTGTGAATATGATATTACCTTGGTAGCTTTGTCCTCCATGTAAAGTAACCCATTCTTTTGAGAGTTGCTTATATCCATGCTTTCGTTTCCTGGGAATATAACAGGAATGAATAATTAATTCAAATCATTTTTCCAGGATTTCGTTATACTCTATTTCTAACATATACAAATAAGATTGATATCTTTTATTTGACATAAGTGGTCAATAGCGACTTAATGACTTTTGGTTATAGAATAACAATCAATTTTTAGACTCCTCGTATTCTGCCTACATTACGGATTGCCAGGACATGCAATAATTAATTTGTCCAATAACAAATGCTATAATATTATTATCACTATAATTCACGGTAACTCGTTACCTGCATCACTGTCACTTCGCCAAACTTCGCTCAACCTATTATCATCAGTAAGTTTCTTGTGCTGGGAAAAAAAGCATTTTACTAATTATATATGTTTTTTACAACGTACCAGTCTAGTTATTTAATAAATAACAATACCTTAATAATTATTTTGCCTTTCAACTGATTTGGAGTTGGTAGCGTCGTTTCTTCCGGCTTTAAACGCTGTGTTACCATCATATCTATCAATAAGAAAATGAAGTTTTAGCAATTTGTTGTGGTAAATTTCTATATCGCAAAATTGAAGATATTCGATATATTCACCTCCAAACACATCAACAAACATTGTTGCCATATGTCGCTGTTGAGGAAGTTTGCAGTGGTTTTCAATTGACAATATGACTGGTAGGCTGCAACGCAAGAAAATAATATTAAAAAATAATGTCCTGTAATTGTAGATCAGTGAAGATAACAATCTTACATTTAGTAGAAAATTGATTACTTAGATACCAGGGTTGTCCAAAACGAATCGAATATTCGAATATCATAGTATTCGAATACCTTTTCGGCTGGTTTTCGAATAATTCCGAATAGTAGTCACTTTTCGCCGTAAACGTGGTGTTTCGTTTTACGGGACTTTTTACGCTGTCTCACGTATTGTAATGACGATGAAATAGAATCGGCACTTTGATTGTTCATATTCTGTGCGATCGTACGTCTCATAGTGTTGCGACACATTTGCACGTTTGCGTGGGTGGACATTGCCGACATTCGTCTACGAGTCCTTTAATTTACAAATTCATTTCCATCACGTCGAAAAATTGACAATTACCGCTTTTCTAGGCCCAATTTCATTTCTATGTGGCCTGCTTATTAGTCTTCTCAAGCATGATTTGTGTAACCTTATATTTGGGTCTTAGGGTCTGCCAATCATGATATTCAATCGCAGGCCGGTTATCGTTACTTTAAAGAGAAACATGGCCGCCGAGATAAAGTGATTTGTGACCCTTTCGTTTTGCCGATTCAGCAGAACACGACAGGGACGGGAAAACACAGCTGTGAAATAACCCGTGGACGTACAGTGTAGTATTTATCACATTCCAAAATTATTTTAACATTCGAGTTAATAGGTTGTCCAAAATGATTGCCGCTTTACAACTTAAATTTACCGCTCAATTGTTAATATTAGTTAATTCTGTGAGTATGATTCTACCAAACTAACATGATCTGGTTCTAAACATATAAAATTATTAGCGCATATCACAGGGACACAATTTTTCTACCAGTCTTATTGGAGGCCTATATGGAAAAAAAACTTTTTTGAGTGCTAAAAATGGACATCGTCCTATTTGCCATGTGGACTTATTAGCCGGGAAATACGGTATTTATAGCCGTCATTGTTACGATATCCAATAAATTGGCACAAGTTGGAAAAACAAGTTGATTTATTAGAAAATAATTTCTGGCAAATAATTTTGATAACGATAGTTAAAAGTATCGATCCTTTACCAGGATGATTTTTTGTTGCGCAAAATAATCCAATCCATGACTGGTACCAGCATTTAAAATGTCATGTCGAATTAATTTAATTCCGTTCAACGTAACTCATGGTTGTATGGACAATCTGTGGACATAAAATGTGTGGTAAACTGACCGATATTATTAAATATTGATTCCTATTTTCATATTGAGAAAATAATGAAAGTATTAATACCAAATACCACGAGTATTTGTGGACATGAAATACGTGGTAAACTGCCCAATTATATTTAATTTTGGAATCGTATTTACAAAATAATAAAACCATTATAATTCTAAAATGCAACGGCGATCTGTGCCTTAAAATATGTGGTAAACTGCCCGATTTACCAACATTTGAGTTATGATAATAGAACTAAATTAACACGGTAAGGCATTTTAAATAGTGGCATCAGTCATGGATTCAAATATTTTACGCAGCACAAAATCATCCTAGTAAAAAGTCCATACTTTTAAATACAAACCAATGGCAACCATTATCCAAATTAGTTCCCAAAAAGCGGGATAAAGTATAAATTCTTTCTCCGACTTGTGACAATTTTTCCCTGAATACGAAAATAAGAATCAAAAACTAATTATATTCGGCACAATATCACGGCAATATGTGAACATAAATTGTGTGGCAAACTCGCGATTAATATTAATTTTTGATTCCTATTTTTGTATTTACAAAATACAACGGCGATCTGTGGACTTAGAATGTGTGGTAAACTACCCGATTATAAATAGTTTTTGCTTCCTATTTTCATATTTATAAAATAATAAAAGTATTATTACTCAAACATACAACGGCGATCTGCGGACTTAAAATGTGTGGTAAAGTTTCCGAATATAAAAATTTTTTGATTCGTATAAAAAATTGTCACAAGTCGGAAAAATAACTCATACTTTATCCCGCTTTTTGGCAAATAATTTGGATAATGGTTGATATTTAAAATGATGGGCGTTTTACTAGGATGATTTTGTGTTGCGCGATTATTCAAATCCATCACCGATACCACTATACTGCAAAATATATACTGCAATAATCTGCAAATATGAAATGCCTGAATGTATTCGAAATAGTGAACTATTCGGTATTGGCCATCCCTGTATAGATACAAACATATAATTTAAAAAGTGCTATCAAAAACTACATTTTTTCAAAAAGTCGATACGGCCGAAATGCGTTTGTGTGATGAGAACTTCAACTGAACTAATGCTTAAATATCGTTCCAAGATAAATAGACACGAAAGAAATGAAATCAAATAAATAAATAACTTTACAATGCTAGAAAATTGGATTTTGTAGATATTTTCTAAAATAAAAATTATTATGAATATATTTACTGGTACTCACTCAGATACTACAAATGCGTGTTCTTTGATAGTTTTTAAAACATCTATAAACTTTATCTTTGACGTCAAAGTGTGTCCGTGAAAAATACATGGCATTCCATCTGGACCGTCCCAACAATCCACTTTTATAAAGTTTGAAATGGAAAAATATCACATTAATGAAAAATATTCAGTAAGTATATTCAAAATGGTAATATATAATGATACATCTTGGTAAAGCCCATTATATACCGAATTATAATCGATTCCTGATCAATATGACTAAATCCATAACTTTTTTATTGTTTAAATAATTATTGCTTTTGTTTAAAGTTCAAACGATGCGGTCACACAATCTATAATTCCTAGATTAATATCTAAAGTATTATAATATTTAAACAGTGCAGGCACAAAATATTTAAATCTGTATTAATTTCATCAAAACATTGTGAAAGTATCATTTTACGTTCTATACATCTGCATCCCATTCTAAGACATCTTGCATATGCTTCACACGAGGATTCGCTGCTAAATTGATCACCAGTCAGATAGCTAGAAAAATGTCGGATGAACTTGTCAGATATGATCAAAAAATGTTGCAAAATTACTCATATTAATTTAATATGCTGGCATTATAAAAAGTCAAATGTTCCGGTGTTCGGAAATTGTGGAATTATTGAGTAAGATTTTTTAGTATAGCTTGAAAAATAATAGAGTTGTTCCTCGATAATTCTTTTTAACATCATGAAGTAAAATTGAATAGGGTTGCGCGAGACTAACTTCCTATCTTTCCAATATATATGCCACTATATCCTTCATGCTAGTGGATCTGTATGCGTATACTGCATTTCTGCAGCAAGAGTAAAGATAACTATCCTAAATGATTCAAGAGTCCAGCTGCACACTAACACAAATGTATTTCTGTAACGTTTCGTCGGACCAAAGTTCGACTTCCTTAGACAAGCAGTTGCAGACAAGCATTGTTGTAAACTGCTTGTCTGAGGAAGTCTGATTTTGGTCGGTCGAAACGTCACAGAAATACATTTAAGTTCGTGAGCAGCAGAACTCTTTCCATGGATGAAAGTAAAATGATACTATTTCTGTGACTTACGTGTTATGAGATGAGGATATCCAGTACTCAGATAAAGGTTGATTCAATGTGTCCGATTTCAACTTCATTTTCGCGGAATCCCACACACAATTTTCTTTGCTGAAGAGATAACTCAGTGCCTGGAATTATATTTAAAATTGCTACATTGTTTACTGTAAGGCTTCTATTTTATCCAAAATTCATGCACTATCATCTTTATGCATATCAATTGCTTTATCGTTTTGTATTATGAAATAGAACCAAGCAAGTAACATTTATTTGAATTGTAAGGCTGTAGTTTCACTTAAAGTTACCATAATTATTTTACGATACAATAAATTATACAGGATTCAGAAATCGAATAGCAGTTGCAGTGTACACCCCCGAAAACACAAAAAAGTGGTTGATGAAAAACTGGCATGAGATGTGTATAAAATAGCTCATATTTATAAGCAATTAAAAATTAAGAACATTGATAAAAATATTGTATAAGACAGTTTACCTCGGAAATAGACACACAAACTTCAGGTTGATTACATCTGAAATATGATCTCATGTAATTTTCAACATTTTTGATATCTTGAGCCCAATCGTCCTGAGAACAAAAACGATGACCTAGAGCAAATTCCTTGGTATTACCAAATTCTCCGCACATAAAACAGCCTTTTTTTAGTTTCAGAATTGAGTATACGAATTGAATAATGACGTACTTTGATACCTGAAATAAACCCTCTAACAACCCAATATTGCCATATATAAAGGTGAAAATTCGTAGAAAATCGTTGACTGACATACTAATGTGAAATTATTCAAATATTGAAACTTTAATCATGGAGTGGTCGATTTTGATTATTTGAAAAAATCATGTTCGATTTTTTCTTTCACGACATATCAAGATAAAATGCATGTGTGGTATATATATTTTAAAATATTCAAACATTTGCTCAAGCTATTGCTTTTTTCACACATTTTAAAAATGTAAATACACCTTCTGTTCGATGATGAGAAATTTTTGAAAATCTTGTGCATTGAAATGATAACTGCAAAACAAAAAGTTTAAGCACGTTATATGTGATTACAGTTATTTTCCAAATTAATTCAAACACCGGGCCTTCGAGGATGAGTTAGTTATTCAGTCATATGGAGCTTTCCTTTAGGGGAAACCAAAACTTTTGATAATTCTATTTCACCCCAACAAAGACTACCTCAGAAAGCGATCGGTATTGCTCTAATGTTATCGGATCCTGCTATATTCAGATATTTTTAATGTCAGATAAAAAAGATCATTCAGAAATTCAGAAAATCCAGTCTTGGGCTATGAGCGACATACAAAATCCGGATCTACAAACAAGCTATTGAACAGATATGTTAATATAATGTGTTGACATCTCGCGTCATCAACAAATAGTATTCTATATAACAAGTGTTCCTGTCTTTCAAAAAAACATCACAAAAGATAAAACTCATACTGACCCGTCCGATGAATATTCTTGTAAGAATAATGCGATATCCATTTGACCATTTAACATTATTTCATTATAAAATAAGATAAATTGATCAAAGTAAAGTTCTCCGCTCTCATTTATGTCAGCAACCTTCATAAATACACAAATAAAATTAAAATATCAAAGGACCCCATCTTTTAAAACTCTTTATTTTGGATTAGCTCATATCTAATCAATTCAGTTTAAGCGTTTTCTTTTTTATTAACTAAATCCTAATTTGTTTGCAAATTTTTAGATTCCGACAAATTTTTCTTAAAACCAATGTTATACAATCTAGTTTCAGTTAATTATTCATAAAAACAACCTTCCTTCTTAAAATAACTTTAAACAAAAAATTAAAAGTTGATTAAGTGCAAACGACACATTTTTTTTAAAAACGCGTGTTGAATTGCAAGAAATAAGTCAATTCCAAAACTGCTGGTCATCTTTAGCAGTTCAAAACAGTTACACTGTATACCTGAAATACTTCTTTCAAAGCCCGCGTGGACAAATTTTTTGCATTCACGGTTGGTAACCAAGCCTTGGCAATCCGTAGAGTTACACTGCAAAATCATATACATTTTTTGTAGAAAGTTTTTTCATTGCATTCGTTAAAATATGGTGTCAGATCCAAGTAAAATAATACTTCTCGAGTTTAAAAAATGAAAAGTAATCCCCAAGCAAACTTCAGATAAGCGTCTGCTATAATTCATCTTCAGTACTTTCCCCCAAACCCATGCCAAACTTGATAATTAAACCAAGAATTTTTCATGAAACAATAAAAAAGTAGCATACCAATTCTGTTGGTTAATTTGCTCGAATTCTCTCCGGAGCCACCTGTAAATGAACAACAAATTAAAACAATAGGCATGTGTACCTTTAGCGATAAACATTCACAATATTTCGAAAATTGTACCATTCTAATTCAAATAGATTGATCTGTTTTATGTAAGGATGGTAATAACCCATGATTAATATTTGCGTTGCCACAGGTGTCGCCATTTGACTGTACGGGGTTCGTTCAGGGCAGAAGACTTCAAATTGTATTGAACAGGCACCGTTATCTTTTCAACCGGTACATTTGCGCTCGTAAACTGAACCCAGGAAATTTGCACCTGCATACTTTTGCATCCACAAGCATTTTCACCCAAGTACGTTTCCACTAATGGACATTTGCACCCACGTACATTCATACCCACGAACATTTGCACACAGTACATCTGCCAGGCGTTTGCACCCACATACATTTACACCTGCGTCCACAAGTGCTAATGTCCGTAGTTGCAAGTGTCTATGGGTGGAAATGTTTAGGGTACAAATGTCTATTAGTGCAAATATGCGTGCTGCAAACGTCCATGAGTGCAAATGTATGTGCGTATAAATGTCCATTGAGTGCGATTATCCGCGAGAGCAATTTATATGTGGGTGATAAAATCGGTGGGCAAATGCATGGCTCTAAAAATATGCGGGTGAAAATCTCTAGGACGCGGGTTACTGGTGCAAATATACAAAGATGCAAATTCGCTATCACCAATCTTAGGATACTGTATGATTCCCATACAGGAGATAACATTGTTTTTAGCAGAATGCCTACAATATGTCGTTGTTTGGAATATACAATTAGCTTAATACACAATTTATAGAAGCTTATACCTTCTAAAAAGTGTAGCCCATAAAGACAGAATTAGTCTGGCCTTGTCTAAAATATTCTGTTTTTATTTATATAAATTGTGTGGTTTCACTTAACTTTATATACAGTATATGTGTGTGAGTGGATGAATTGTATAATAATACCTCTTCGCATGTGCTGTTAATGTTAATACGCCATAGGCAATTTTTAAATATTGATATACAGTAACTGATGCTGCAATTTCATAATAATTTCAAATAATAAAATAAAAGACATAGGATTATGACTGACCATCCGAGTTGAGAGAAGTACGAAGCCGTGACTGAGTTATGTACAAGATAAGAAAGCCCTTTAATCCAGACATCAACATCTTCGGGATTGTTGGCTAAAAGAAGATTTTATAAGTGGAAAAGGGCTTTCCGTGATGTAAGAGATAGCCAATCCATGTACATCCCATAACAACGAAGCGTTTATTAACAAAATTCATCACAATTTATTAATGCAATCATCAAAAATATACTTTAAATTTTCTAGGTTGCGGTACGAACGTAATATAATATAGCATATTGTTACGTTCCTATAATACAAACAAAAAGAGTATGATTGAAATTTTCATCATCTTGACTCTTCCACTTGTATAATTAAGGTAACCTCCACACAAACTAGCCTCTTAGGCTATGCAAATATTTTCTTATTACATAGTACATTATCTAAGTTATGCACTGTGATATAACTCGCAATTTTTTATTCGAAGCGACTCACTATGGACAGTATTATAATTAGTAAAATTAGGTATTCAAAGTTTTTCTTCAACATATGAATTGTATAGAATGATTTAATATCTTCAAACCTGCAATTGACATCAATTTTAACGTAAAATCCTGACCATAGAGTATGATAAAGCACATATCGGGGTCGATGTGTCGAGATTCATCAATCAGTCTTTCAAAATCTCTTGAAACTTTTCCCTTCCGAATTTCTTTTATTTCTCTGATGTTGACTGTGAAATAATAGATTTAATTTTTACATTTGGAGAGGAAAGTGTCTCATGATTGGCCATTGGGTTCTTTGTTCAAATAAATCTCATTTGGTAATGGGCTATTAATTTTCTGGTCAATATCTTATTTGTTCTTGTGTTCCAGCAGGTTCGATTCTCAATACACACAAACGATTTAAACAAAATAATTCTCAAACATTACTACTTTAGAACTTATGGGCAGACCTAATAACTTGGACTGAATCAATTGACTTGTACCTACTTCGGCCTTTACAATAAATTTACACGTATTATGTCAGCTTACACGTACAAACGACTTTTTTGCAACCCGATTTTATTCGAGGCATTTATTAGGATATGTAAATCCCATGTATTTTTTATTGAATTAACATGAAAAGAACCTGACATTGCTGCGAAGTACCTGATCCTTCAGCAATTCCATTTCGGCGACTCCAAGTCATACAGCGGGTTAGTAGATTTACTTGAAATGTACAGTCTTCGCTCCGTGTCTTTTTTGCGCTGAATTTTTTCATCAAATTTCCCATTTCAATTCTTCTTAAAACACTTTCCAACTCATTTCCATCATGAAACTTGACTTTCGGAATACCTAATACTGACGAATCACTATTTTCTACGTCCATCTTTTTTGACAAAAACAATACGCACGAAAAGGAAAATTTCAGACACATATTCATAGGGTATTTGTAGTGCGGCTGCGATTTGAGGACTCATTATTTCAAACCGGAAACGACGAAGGTGTATTTCGTCCCTATAACTAAAAACTGACCTTGTAATTGAGTTCCACAATAACTGCAGTGAGTACATATCTCCAAAAAAGTAGATGCTTCATATCGGTGGTTATTCGTATATTTAAAAAAGGTGGTAAAAAGAAAAATCTCGCTCACTCGCACAGAAGCAAAGTGAAATCCTTTTTCAGTAATGCTACGAGTGGCTACTGTAATGACAAGTCCGAATGCTACTGAAATTATGAATGATGGTACATTATGACCAAAAAGTCGATACGAGACCTGAAGTAGTTCTAGACTGGGAACCCCCAAAATGCGGGAAACGGGAACGACGGGAATGCCAAAATTTTTACAAAAAACGAGAATAGCGTGAAATCGCTTCAGGGAACAGGAAATATGCATATTAAAGTACGTGTAGGGGAATTACACTAATTTCTATACAACTAAGAACGATAAAACGAAGACAAGCAACTCATGTGCGAGGGTGATAAATACTAGACAATACGAGTCTTAATCGGAACAAAGTTGTAAAATATTTCCGGAGAACAATCTATCTGATCAAGACTCATTTATGGACTTGTTCATGCAACACAAAAAAAAATACCAACAATTAATCTCATCATCTATGTTTTTATGTTTAACTAATATCAAATATCAGTAAATTTTATATTGATACAATTTTCTAAGTTCGCGTGTGCCCAACTAGCCAACTCGAAACTAGTCCTATCTACAGATAGAATGTATTGTCAGCATATTACAGTATTATGCAGTTTTGCAGGCATAATCTATCATTCACAGATTTTAAGTTTTAGAACAATATACCCACTCACCCACCTCTTAAAAATACTGTTGGTCGAATTAAGTTAATGAATGGGCACCGCACTGATCCAAGTAATAAACCGTATTATAAACCGTAAGTTTACAACTAGAGGGCTGGAACACTATGGACTAGAGGGCTGCGTTATTTCTGAAATATTTGAGACGCAATTAGCACTTGTCGAAATGATTTTGCTAAAAAGTCACATATTCATCGCAACCTGTTGTTGTACCACACAAACTGTGAGAGCCCATAGCTTTCAATTACTTAGCAATACCACAAGGCAACTCCTGGTACTGACGTCTGCATTTTCCGATCGACGTTGTATTGCGCCAACAACTTCTCAGCTGTTTCCTGTAAACAAAAGTCGGTTTGATATTTTCCAGAACAGTTCGAGGAGCGTTTACCAAATGTGATTGCAATGATTTTATATAATGTTAACACAATGTAATCGAGCTACGGCTTATGTTTTCACTGCGATTGATTTGTTTATCATGCGTGGTTTCAACAGAAAGCTTTGGTATCCATGATATTTTGAGAAACGCAATTTCACACGATAAGATTTAATGCGAAAAAATCACATCTCCGATGATATATATTTATAATATCAACTACCAAACTATAAAAATGTTTGCGAAACTGGATTATTAAATGTTTTAGAGACATTGTAGAAAATGTATGCCATTACAAATAGGATATTTATCGATTTTACGTAATTGCTATTGACAATCATTGCTTGGACCCATGTCTTTTGAAACTATATAGCGTCTATACGTCACGTATATTCAACAGCGAATGAATAGACCGTGAATTGTTGAAATGAAGGGTAAGGACTTTCGGTTACAAGCGGAACAAAAACATGATAACAGCATCATTTTTTGTGATAATAATTCTTTCCTGGTTTCAATCGCTACCTTTGTCATATCTAGACATTTTGACTCATCGATATAGACACCGGTGACCATACATTTGCACCCGTATGTCCGCGGGTTCAATCTATATGCGGGTGCTAAAATCCATGGTTTAGGGTTAGTATGGGTTTAAATATCCGTCAAAAATTTTTTCATAGGTGCCATAGTATGCAGGTGCAATTGTCGTGGATTCAAATGTACGTGGGTTCGAATGTAATGGAACCATAGACACTATTTATCTAATGCTCCTTTTCATGTAACTACGTATTTTCTACTCATATTAGCAATTCATTTAGGTCTGGAAAACAACCAACCTAGATGTCCATAAATTTATTAAAATGCAAATTCCCCTTAACTGCATTATTTACTGTTTTGGCTTTCAATATTCTGTGTGAAAAAATGCAATTTGCAGAAATGCGATATGTGAATGCATAATACTATATTTTTAAACATGTAACACGACGGATTCCATCTCCTCATATACACAATTCTGTTCGTGTTTTGTTTTCTCATTGTGCGTTTCGACATTCTGATGTTTGACGGCATTATTCTTAGACTATCGAGCACTAATTTCCTGGTTTACAGTGAAAGTCTGGGAGCTTCAAGTCCAATGAGTGAGTGAGGTGCCCAGTTTTCATGACACACTTCCTACTGAACAGCCTTTTCTGAAATCTTTCTCTAGGCCAGTCAAAAGCGTGATTTATTATGTCTCATTGTGTGACTTATTATGCGTCACATGTCTTGCTGGAACCAATATTCATCTCAATCAATCCATCAACCTCGTCCAAATGATGATGTCCAACTCTATCTCAGCACCGCCACATAATGTTGCATATTCACCGCTTGATTTTCGACTCCAAACCAATAGGCACCAGTTGTACAATATTTGGAAATGATTACCCATTCTGCGCACTTTACTAGTCGTAACGTTCTTCGTATGACTTTCTTCGAAAGAACTGCATACAGGAAATTAATATATTTGCTATTGACATACCCAGGCAGCAGAAAGCTCACTTCAGTAGAAAACTTGGGATAATAGAGTTACCCAGTGTACAAAACATGTTCCACTTTTTCATATGTTAAGATTGTATGCTTGGTACAGATAATGTTCACCAACATAAATCCCTGCAATACATAGCCTCGATACTCAAATTCAAAGATGCTTTGTATCAAACGCTCCAAGCAAACACAGAAAATATGTAACGGTCAAGTGAATACACAACAAATGTTCTTTGTAACTTTTAATACATTTTGACCTTTTTTTTCAAGTGACCCAAATTTTCTGAAGAACAAATTTTGTAAAATATCGCGACCCGAAGATATGTTCAAATACTAAATGGCATGTAGTACTTTTGTCTTTTATGGCCTCAAAATTGAATGACTAATATAAAACAAAGTGAGAAAGCTTCCCAAGTTTAAAATCGTGGCGTGGATTCACATAATGAAAACAGAATAAAAGCTGCAAAGTTTTTACGTTGTGATACTTTCCACGTATACTATTACTATTGAACAACACTTCCAACATACAAATCAAAAAAACTTCACTAGAAAATAAATTAGTAACTTTTAGGATTTTTTTTTAAAAGCAAGCGACAAATTTTTAGCCGACCACGTTTGGGGCGCGACTAATAGATTGGGAAAAACTGTTTTAAGTAAGACGAAAATTCTAATACTAAATTTTAATGCGATCATCTCACTATGGGTGCGATTGCAGACTGATGGCAAATCGCCATCAACATTCCTCCCTACACATTGATACAAGTTAGACAGAATTTATTATAATTTTGTGCTGTGCGTTACTATTTGCGTTGATACTTATTGAATATTGTTGTGTTAATAATAATTCTAAATGTAATATCACGCTGAGTGTGACTTCAACACTTTACGACACGCTTATACTAAATAAAGCAACAAATTTGGTGAGCATGGGAATACCAGTATTTATTCGTTCGGTAAAAATGGGGAATTTTAACACTGCAACAACTAACATTGGAGGTCAGTAAACGGTCAGGTCAAAAATTGGTAACATTCAGTGTAGCAATAAAATGATGTATTTATCAGTTACATTTTGCACCCGAACAATTGTAAATGTTAGCAACTATGACAAACTTACGTTGAAGATTGTGTCTAAATATATGTATGGGAAATCCTAATACTATAATATGAAAATTCCATTTACGTCGAGAGTTTCGATAGAATTTTGAACAAAGAGTTTAGCGGGTAACGGAAGAGAAAACAATAAACAATCCAACGTACCTAAAGCACTAGTTAGTTTCATGTAGCAAAAAGTATTTAAAGATGCATCGAGGAAGCCATATAAAACATTTTGTGAGATGGACCTTGCTTATTATATCCGTGGATTTGTCTTTTTCTTGCTTATTACAAGTAAGTCAAACTTTGGAAATGATTTTTTGAATTTCTAGTGCATATTTAGCATATGCAAAGATAGATAGCTTCTGCGATAATCTGGTGGTGGCCAATCTTTTTTGGTTTGCGTGCCAAAACAGACTAAATTCCTCCATGTGCTAACCTAAATTTGAGAGAACTTAAACAAAATTCGTCCGAATAGTGAAAACACAATAAACTAAAATTGAAAAATGTTTACTCTAAAATAAATGATTTTCTACTTTCAAAGAAAAACAGGCACAGTATTAAACTTTAAAGGCAGGTATAAAGTTGATTTTCAAGAAAATATCAGTCCGACAAAAAGATTTCATCACATTTCTTATCATATATCAGTGAGACTTCTGCTGCTACATTACCGCTGACAGATATTTTAGATCGGGTTCATATTTTGTAACCACCAGAGAAATACACGAAATACTAGTTTCATTAGTCAGGCTACTCCCATTACGAGACCTAATAAATAAGTTCATAATTGAGAACGGATATCCAAAATCATAGGCAGATTCTGAAATCAATTTATACCAATGAGGTAACAAGCAACTCTGATTAGCGTAGGGTCACTATATTTGAAAAAGCAAAATTCCGGACAGTGCATGACTATTTTTATGACCTCGAAGTAAAAAAATATGCGCACGGTACGAAATAACAATGTTCTATATCAGCAGTGTGCACAGTACGATTGCAGATGCAGTAAAATTCCGGATTCCGGACATTTGAGCATTTTTTAAATTCTTCCCGGACGCAAAATTTAACCCTAAATTCCGGACATGTCCGGAATTTTCCGGACGGTATGGCAACCCTAAATTAGCACGCACTATACAACTTTATGAATCAAGCAGATATTAAGAGAGAAGGTGGCACATGTGAACTAAGCTCAGAAAGAGTGTAACTGTAACCATACCCATACTACGGTTGTCTCGAGAAAATTTGTTTAAGGTCGAGGGCTCAGCTAGTTGTTACGTCATAACATATTTCATTGTAGCCATAAGCAGTGTTCCCTTTAAATTTCACACTGCGCAAATGTTGTTTTTACGGAGCAAAACTATTTTAAGGCTGAGCAGAATCCTGAAATATTTGCAAACATTGTGAAAAGTTACAATAGTAGTAGCATCATATATTATCGGAATGCGAACAGACCACACGTTTAACTCAAAGTCCGTCTCCTGGACATAATGTACAATCTCAACATTTTTGTTGTTGCAATATCATTGCTTCCATCAAAATCAGGGTATGAAATTTTGCTTGTCTTATGCTCTGCATGATTTCTTCCTTGAAGCGGAATAGCAATAATTAGCAGTTTTTTTTTAGCTCATTCATACCGGTATCACGATTTTCGTATTTCTAGCCTTGCTTCCTTGAATATACATTTTACTCACGCGCTAGATAAAGAACACTATTATATTGATTTTGGTTAAAATGCTTAACACTCTTTTAGTAATTTATGGTGAAACATACTTAGTATATAATCATTCGGTATCATTCTGTATAAGCTCATGTGTCCCAATCTCGAGATTCAGGCAAATTTCCTGCAACAAACAGTGGACATGATACCTATTAAAATTCTATCTTCATCTGTGTAAACTTCACTACGGACAATTACGAGATTTGGCGTGCCGACAAGGCGAAATTCAGAGCGCGGCGTGATGAAAATTTCAAAATGCGACACCGGCCCGCGCTGACATAAAGAAATCAAGGTACTTGAGCGTGACAGACACATGTGTGACATCACAATGATCAGTGTTCACCAAAATACGCATGAAACATAGAATGATATTTTAGTTCAGCGGTAATAAAATGACATATTGAAAATATGAGCCACGCTTCAAAAACGAAATGTTGCAACTGCGCGAGAATGAGATTTTACTGCGCAAATGTTCTGGTGGTACTGCGCAGTTGCGAAGCTTAGAGGGAACCTTGGCCATAAGTCGTAAAAGAACAAATGAAGTCTATGTAAATAACGGATTGTTAACGAACGAAAATGTAGGCCCAAACACCGAGTTTCATCAGATCAGTGGTTCCCACCACCGGACCGCGAAGCTTTTTTGGAATTTTTTTTTGCCGGTCTGCGAGAAATTTTATTTTATTGTTTTTCTGCCGTCTCAATCGCTTTACCGAAGACGAAGCTACGTAGGTTTATCATACAATTTCTCTCCCGTCGTCATATTGCGGTTTGATGAATGAGGTATTAATGGCCCAGCGACATCTTGGTGCCGAGTAATCACACTTTTAGCTTTTACGGTTCCGATTCATCGCGAAAGCGCTCAGCCAATTCTCACAAGATTCAGAAAGCTGGAAATCACCATGCGTGCCTTTTTCGTTCTGCATGCATTTCTTGATTAATAAGACGAATGTATATTGTCCCTTTTTTCAGTTTTTCAGCCGTTTAATTTTTACTATCTTTTTATTTTTCTACTCTATATATATACGATAGTGTACTCTTCATATCATGCCATGATGAAGTTTTTCTGGATAGAAATTCGAAACGTCGGCAAATTATATCGTTTTGCTATACACCGGTTGTGCTTAATTTATCTTTGACGAGACGAACTTACGTTGGTTTATTACGCAATTTCTCTTCTGACGTCATATTGCTGTTTGATAATTGCGGTATTAACGGCCCGGCGACGTCTTGGTGCCGAGTAATCACACTTTTAGCTTTTTCGGTTCCGATTCATCGCGAATGCGCTTCGTCAAATCTCGCAAGATTCAGAAACCTGAAAATCAGCATGCGTGCTTTCTCCGTTCTGCATGCTATTCTTGATTAATATTACCATCCAAATAAAAGGTTATGAATATTTCTTTGTTTAAACCAGAAAACTGAGAACAGTATAATAATCCAGAGCTTCACCTTGACACCCATCGAGATATGAACTTGTTCGACCCTGCAGGCGGCCACGAGACGCGCAACAAAAGCATAGGTCGCTGAGATCTTTTCCGTGTGATGCACAGCAGGATTTTGAGCCTGGTGCTAAGGTAGCAACGACTTTATCATTAAATATAAATTCATTTTGTTTGAGGCGTCGATCAACTGCAGAGAGATTGATATGATTAAGCCAACGAAACCTCTACTTTACAGTCCAGATTACTAAATGAATCACTGTCACAATTCATTTTTGAGCTCTGTTGATAACGAATACCCATCGTTAAGTAATCGAGCAATGAAACTATTGTCAGAATTTCCAACTAGTTACTTCTAACTTTAATTAAAACGAAGCAACTAAATCGACTTTGATCCACTGCAGAGCTACGTGTTGCAGAACTTTTTTCGGTGTCTCGCTTGCAATCCTGAATTGGAAACGAAACAGTAGCGAAATTCTCATTTTGAGTTAATTGTGCTCGTACATGATTTGGCATGTACGGGTACACGTTTTTTTATGTGAGATGTGTGCCTTTTTTACGCATAAAGGGTGCCCAGCACTGCATTTTATTACGCAAAAATATGTTATCATTTTATGTTCCACCAATTTCAATTTTTGGCCGGCACATTATTTGTTGTTTTTCTTTATGTGAAATGTTTTGATATGTGCCTTTTTTTTTCTAAAAGCGTAGTGATTGCCCGACATTACGCAAATATATGTTATTATTTTCAATTTTTGAAGGTCCGTGAATACATTTTATTTAATTTTACCGGTCAACCAGGGTAGAAAAGTTGGGAACCACTGCATCAGATAATACCAACGAAACATTTTTATCTGAAGGGAAAGATCTCGTTTCCAAAATCCGCTTACATGCCAAGTTTGGCACGCGTGCCAGGGGTTGCCCACCCCTGATCTAGTCAGGAGCTTTGCACAGGCTATTCAGGCGTTGTGAAGATCAGTATGTCTTTTTGTAACGCGTTAACTTGCTGGTTAAATTTGTCTGTTAAACCTACACCTGCCAAGCAATTTATTTGGTAAACTCAGAACACTGTAAGTGACGACTGAAACGCGATCGTACGTTGGAGTCACCAACCACCAACCATCCCATTGTGGAAGATAGACTTTCAGATGTGTTACTTTTAAGCTTGATTTGAGAAGGACTCGTAGTCGGTTTGTAGCTGGCATTATCCTAAATTACGCGTTGACTGCGCGCTACTATAGCTGTTTATGTTCAAGCAACGGGATCAATTTTCAAAAAGCAATTGTCGCGAGCCGTAACTGGGGTTAGAGCTGCATATTCATGTTCACGATCATTAACAGCGGTATTATAAGATTATCCCCGCATACTGCTTTCTACTCTGCGTAAAGGAAGACTATTATTGTGAGAAGACATTGATAGTTTTGTGGCCACCTTTGTTTATCTTGCTTCCTCATATTCAAGGCTAAAATGCAAAACTCGGTCTGCGAATATTCAAGACTATACTTGTCGAGATATATGCAGATCCGCGTAAAACCAAAGAATTTGGTGCTTCGGACGTAATCTGATAAAATGTTAGCGACGCTTGCGATTAGAATCCACCAAATCGATCTATAATATAATATATTTCAATTTCGTAATACAAATATCTGTGTACCGACTTGCGATATAACAAAAAAAAGTCCAGTAGACACCTCGCTTCCCGTAATGCCATCCCTGAACTACTCGACATTTAAATGAAATCTCATTTTACGAATCTGCAAAACTTGTTAGTTCATAACACCCAATGTTTGATTCAAATTATGATTCGTAGGAATCCTTATAAAGCATAAATTTTATCACACATATTCTATGCAGGATGCAACTTGTCAAAGAAAGTTCATCGCTGCGGACAACAGATAACGGACCGTAGTGGAACCATCGTTAGTCCAAAAAACGTCAGAGATTGTGTTAGAAATAGGAAGTGCGATTGGCATTTTGTATTTCCTTCCGGTTTCAACGCCTTGAAATGGAATTTCACGAGTACTACATTCCAGACAAAAAAGGACTTGCTATTTGCGTCCAAAATCAGTAAGTAAATTCGTATACTTTTTGAAATGTTATTGAGCGTGTCCGGTAAAATCGCAAGAGACTTTTGCTGTAAAACAAGTATGTGTGATTAAAACCGTTAGGTTTATGGGGTTAGGGTGTGTTTTTAAATAACGAATCTTTTTTAAATAAGGCGATTTTTCATACGGCGATTTTTCCTATGCGGCAAAATTTCATGCGGCGAATTTTTTTAGAACCTTCATAGAGCCGTAGAGACTGTTATTTTTAGAATAGTTTAGCTCGTGGCACTTGGGTGCAACAACGCTAAAAAATGGAAAAAATACAACTTTTCACTCAAATAACATAAGACTATAATAATGATTTTTCAGGTGGTGCTACAATTCGACACATAAATTTTGATTCATCAAATGACTCTATTTGTTATGTGGTTCGGACATCTAAACGCGAAGGAGATTCATCAAGAGTCAGCGGGTGTAAAATTTATACGGAGAATGTGACTGAACCATATATAAATTATACATGTGACCCTTCTGCGCTTCAGTTCAAAGTTCACTACGAATTCATCAAATACGCAAAAGGTATAAACTGCATTCAAATGAAGGATTTGAGTCCCGTTGAAGCCAAAGCACGAATTAATTTACGTTAATTTCCAACATATGCAGTATACTATAGTGTTCACTGATGTGATAATACTCTGCTAAGTGGTCTTCACTTTTAAGCTGCATTTTTCCGTTTTGCAGAGCAGCTTTATTCCCTAATACATAATGGAATATCAGAAAATGAATAGAGTAATCCTTATGAATAAAACACGGGCTGTAACTATAATGCAGGGGTTCTCAACCTTTTTTCTGTTAGTTACCCCCCGAGTCACGAAACAATTAACGCGAACCCCCAATAATCAGACACCAAACAAAGTTGTGATATATTGGCTGACAATTCGCTACAACGACAATTTATTGATCAACTGATGCTGTAACTGAATTAAATATTTGTGTTGATGTTATTGCCCTTGTCCTCCACCCAACTAATAAATTCTTGAAATCTTCCTCAAGTTTCGGTGAGCACATCACTTTCTGCAATGCTCGCAGCACATTGTCTTTGAGATTTCCCAGTTTGGCTGAAAAGTCGTGCATTTCACATTGTTGCGTCACAATCACAACAACGCTAGATCAGTGATTTTCAATTGGCATTAATTTTCATCTGGTAGTTACTTAGTTTTCTTTTGTTAAAAGATTATGAAAGAAAAAACACACAAAAACTCGACTGACATCCATGTACCCCTGGAAATCTTCTCGTGAACCCCTGGGGGTTCGCGAACCCCAGGTTGAGAACCCCTGCTATAATAAATCTACTAACTACTGTTTTTGTTTTGGAAGGTATATTTGGAATGCTTGAAGCAATTATATTGTACCTTATCACAAATATTTGGAAATTATATTATTTTTCTCATACTAGAAACTACCACACACACAAAATCGAGTTTGACAACAACAGCCGCAACTTACAGTTCTTCGTTCGATGCTCACACTGTTTCATCAAACCGACAAATAAGCGTTCAAAGCACATCCGAAAGTTCGTCAACCGTCAGTAAGTAGTTCGAAGTTTTAAGTAATTCATTCTACATCCAAACATCGACAAAATATAACGTATGTAAATTCATACGACAACACTAGCGTTGATGTCAACTTTTTTTACTCGTGGTATTTTGACTTCATGCAGCAATTTTAAACGTAACAAGTAAATCCAGCCAAAAGTGCAGGTTGTTGCAAATACTAAAAAAATCTAGTTTTCTAGCATATAGTTAAGCCAATGTAGTAAGTTATTTGAGGTGAATTGCGAATCTTAATTTGTTCGTACGGTGATATCATATATAAATAATAAATATAAATATAGCCAGTGTTACCAGACTTCAGTGCTTACGAATACACATTTACATATTGATATAGAACTGCATTGAAATACGCTAATAGATAATGTAAAAACGAAAACAGGAGATTTTATTTTGTCAGAATATTATATCAGAATCAAAATCTACAAATGAGTTCATTAAGAGAACATGACGCTCTGATGAAAGAAATGAGATGATATGAAAAAATATTAACTCGAGGAAACTAAGAGTTTCCAACCAAAAATGTTTTTATCTCATTCCATATACATATTTTGCAGTAGACAAGCAAAACGCAAAACAAAGCTCCACAACAGATTTGTTGTCAACAAATAATATTAAACACGCAAGCAAATCATTGATCATTTCAACTCCGATCGACGACAAGGAAGTAATGGAATCCGAAGCACGTACTTATGGACATACTTCGCGTACCAAACTGCGTAAAACCAGTTCCTATCGTCTTAAAACAGAATACGGAGAGACCAATCACACAGAAATTGACACCAAAATCCTTACTCAATATCTATATTATATCGTCATTCCACCATCAGTAGTAATCGCTGCATTTCTTGCAGTTGCTGGAATCCTTGCAATCTGCATTTGGAAAAAAAGGTGAGACTTTGAAACGCTACTTGTTTGGAGTTTGCGGTTGCAGAATTATACAGCTCCATCAAACACTCTATTAGAAGGTCATTATTTACTAGAGACATTACTGATTGATTTTCTGCGTATACGACTCAAATATTTGATGCAATTTTGTAACTAGTGAAAAGATAAGTACTAAATATATCCATCCTATCCTTCTATCGTTCTAGTCGCATTTACTATTATGTGTAGTAATGTAGCCTATACCTTCGATTGAAAAACAGAAATTATTCATAAACTGCAAGTCTAGTTTTCAAATTAAGACAAAATTACCAAAAACAAAAATATTAGCATACTGCCGATGTATATTGATTTTAATTCACTCCAATATTTGTATTTTTGTAGAAAATCAGTTAACCTACAAAACACAGAAGTTGCCACAACATCACCAACGACAACCCCTTTTGCCAGCATGATGCCTTCTGCTATGGCTATCCCAAATGTATACGAAGAAATTGGTGTTGTCGCTCCCTTTGCTAATTCAGCATTAGAAAATGTTGATAGATCTTCTAATACCCAAAACTGCAATGTCACATTTGAAGAAGGAGAGCAATCCGTGTATGTGGAAATGAATTCTATTGTCCGGAATCTCTAGATTACGAAGATTATGCAACAATAACCATCGCTTTCTTTCTACAATTTTTTTTTTCGCGAGGTGTTTACCCTGTTTCCCCGAAAATAAGATCTAGCCTGAATTTCAAAAATGATTTTAATATAAGCAACCTAGTAGCGAAAAATTTTTTTTTTGACCTAGTCGATAGCAAGAAATCTCTCCTACACGTTCTAAATGATTAATAATAATATGGTATCAGTTATTTAAACGTGTTATTTATAAGTAAATGGATATCGGTTTTCATATTTTGTATGCTCCACTTTGTAATTTTGTTCTTGATAAATGAGAATAAAAGAACATCCAAATTAAGCCCTTGTGATATTTTTTGAAAGAAAATTGAAAAAGAGACACTGCCTTGTTTTCGGGGAAACACGGTATTGCTTTTACAGTGATGTACTATTGAAAATGTAGAAATAAACGAAAAACATATAAAAATTCTTCAATCATGTAGTTCAAAATTCGCAATATGTATATTCCATTTACTCGGGCCTGTAGGCTATTTCATTTGCAATGCTCCTCTTTAATAATGGCGTTACAAAGTGCCATAATTACCTATAAATGTTTGTTAAAAACATAATGACGTCATGAACAAATATTTAAATTTTGTAAAATACAAAAATTCAATTACAGGTAATATACATACGCTAATAACCCGAACAGACTGGATATCAAGCCTAGATATGGCCTCAATTGCTGATAAAGAAAACATTACAGATGAAAATTTATTATTCTCGAGGGGAAAACTGGAAAAATTGATTTAGTTTGGTATATTTTGTTAAAGGGACTCAAATTTTTGAAAGTCAACCCTGCCAAAATCGAACGCAAATTAGTGTGTCTCGTTGATGACGTAGCCTACTACTGAGAACTCGGCGTATTAGTTAGAGGGTTCTCTGTATTATTTTGAACCGTATGCTAGTTCTATTGGGCGGTGCATTTGACAAACGCTGTAGTGGTTTAAATACATACCAATATCCTTGAATAATATGTTGCATTATTATAAATTGCAGTAAACTTATTGAATCGAGGTCAAGATATACTCGATCTCTGTGCCGGATCTTTTATTGAAACATATTTTCCGCTGAAATAACGCATACCAGACTATTTTTGTCTCAAATAATATAGGTTTTATAATTTATGTAGATTCATCTGCTTTTCTGTAATTAGTGCTTTTGTTATATTGTCGTTATATAAACTATATTAGAATTAGCATATATATATATGCTTTCCAACACTAGTGGATGTCTAGTTGGTTACAGCAGAATTCACAGTGATGGGTCTTAAAGCATGAAACAAGAAGAAAACTATGGATCAAATTTTCTCTGATGTCTCCATGAAACTAAAGGAAGAATTAATTTATGTTAAAGTACATGCAAACCCCTGCCCTCAGTTCGGAACAACCAATACTCATGCGCAGCGCCGGATTAACCATTAAACAATATAAGCACGTGCTTAGGGCACCAAGCAAGTAGGGGCGCCACAGAAATTTTAGAGCAGAATTTTATATAGTTTATCGGTGTTTATTAAAATATTACGAGTTCACCAGACCACACAAACTTAAAAATGTTCGTTTATTTTTCGTCTTCAAGTATCATAATAATCTTCTTTATTAAAGATGAACACTGAAACTTATTTATTGGACACGAAATGGGCCTATGAGTCGTTTTCTTAAACTGTTGTTGTTTTTTCGTTCTAGTATTCTCCTTGTTGCTGCATTTTTGTTTTAAAAAGATTTTATTTCTATTCAACAATTGGACCAATGCACTATTTACACTATGTGCCGGTTTCACGATCGCATTTCAACGATCTAGTGGTCAGCGAAGTCGGGAGTTTTTCGATAAGGGAGACCAGGGTGGTCCAAACCCTGTCATGCTGATACAATCCGTGATACATTGCACAATTTTAGTCTCTAATGGAGGAACGTTTTTGAGTTTTTTTTAACTATTTCAACTGGGGTTTGGATCCCGAGATTCAAACTCTTTTTCTATCGCTTTGTGCCTTTGTTTTAGTAAAAACACTCCTCTGTTTTTAAGCGCCGGTCTTGTGACAGTAGTGACAAAACGCAGAGCCGACTTAACGCCGCGCAATCCAGTTTTTTTAGCTAGGTCCCGAAATACCAACTTAGACGGACTCGGTTGGTATTTGACGATGGCATTAAGCTTGCTCTCGCTGCAAGTTTTTAAATTACTCAATATAACAATTCGTATTAAAATGAGTGTCGCAAGAAAGGTGACATAAGGAAAACACGGCGGAAACGTATTTCCTTGCCCATCACACAGTGTATGGTTTAATTTCAAGAAATATCTGTCATGAAAGAATATAATTTGAGCGACATTAAACGCGAGATGCGCAAAATACAACGGTAATTCTCGGGAATTAACTTTGAGATAACCGAATGCTTTATATATCTTCTTTAAAAGAACGCCACCCATGCACCATAATAATAGTCTGATTAGAACGGTAAACTCTATTTGTTTATTAAATTTAAAGTAGGTAAACTTGCGATATTTCGATCACGTTTGGGTTTTCTCCGACCTGCGGCCCGCGAGATGTCCTCAAAAGTTTTTGCGGTCCTACCTAGCAACCTTGAACCACCCTGAGGTAGACCACTAGGCACCGGTAAAATTTCAAACTACAGTTGTGACTTGTATCCTTTGGTATTTCGATTCACGTTGAGACTAGAGGCACGAATCTTTATCGTCACACTCCTTCAGGATTAGAGCTCAACTGATATATCGCCCGATATTGCGTGTTTTCCGAATATCATATCGGCAGTAAACGGCCGATATATATATCGGCTATAACAGGTAAAAAACCTAAAAAAGTTTGTAAAAGTTGTTTTATTTACTGTTGGTTGTGAGTATTTTTAATGGATAATACACTTATGTGGTTTAGTGTTTTTATAATTAAATTACACATGAGGGGGCACTGGAGTCTTCAGTGCTTAGGGCACCAATAGGGCTTAATCCGCCCCCACACTCGCGGTAAAAATATTGCATTGGCCTTATAAGGTGCGCTTCGTCATTCCGTGCATTTCTTTCCAAACAAGCCTCTGTATAAATACATCTATTGATACGCAAGGGAGAACTTTATTTCTGGATGGGCCCAGTGGTAAGCTGTAGCCGGAACGCACCGGAACGGCGTTCCGGTTGTTGGACAATTTATTGCATTTGCGTTCCTGTTGTTGAAATGAAATTTTGGTACAAAAAGACTAGTTTCTCTGGTAAACCTCGTCATTAACTTACATTTTGTTACATCATAATTATTTTTACATCACATCACGCAAATAATTAGTACATAAGTGATGGGCAATAGATGTTTCCCCGACTTTTGACCCGTGGAAATTCATCCTAATAATATCATTTGTATTGAATTGTTATGAATATTCTTGCAATGTTACACAGAAGTATTTCAGATGATTTCCTTATATTTCATTGCAGTTCTTCGGCTCTATCTTAGGACAAACAAAAATTTGTGTAACGTCCGCGTCCTGTTGTAAATATATACATATTACATTTTTGCGAATTAGGTGCGTTCCGATTGTTAAGATTTTTCTAGCTCATCACTGGATGGACCCAAACGTTTCTCTTATTTTGGAAATTGCACAAGATTGAACTGGGAATCTTATCTTCTCTCCAATCATACACCAACATCGTTTAACGAACGAAGATATATGTAAAAATAACAAAAACATGAGGAAAGTTTTACTAAATTTACTAAAACGAAAACGCGACAAAGCATTTGTCATTCCACCCATAATAGGCGAAAGGCGATTAATACCGTTATTAAGTTTATAGCGTTTGAACGATCAGGATCCTTTATTAAATAATTCACCGCCAAATTCACTTTTTAGTCTCAAAAGAGTTTAGTCTCAAAAGAGTTCGGCACATCTGCGGATGCTTGTAACTTTGCTCTGAGACCAGTCTTATTTACTTCTGAGTTATTGTACGTGACTTTGCTTTGAGAAAATTTTCTTAATTAATAATTTTTCTCAATAAAAATTGGTTTAGCTTCTGTACGGCGTACACCACCATTGTTGATCTCTAAAAAACTGTTTATCGCTTCTAGCTGCCTCCTGCTTGGCAGCGTGCGTCCCTAATTCTAGGGGACTCCTCTTCTCTGTGCCGGCCCACGTGATTCTGATCTGAACAAATACTCGTATGAAAATTAAATCAGATAAAATAAAACGGCAAATGCCGTGTTCTCCCCACGTGCAGCATAGGATACGCCAATAATTGCCAGTAATACGGCGATAGATAATTTACTCATTTTCCTGTATTCTTCCAAACCGTGTGGATGTAAGAAGAAGTTGTAATGAAATGCGTCGTTAGTTGTGAATCCGCGGTGTTTAAAATTTTTCTGTCATCAATTTATTTCTTTAAAAATGTAACTGACATGGCAAGTTTTTTTTCCGCTGGTGTGTCATGCGTCAAAGTGGTGTGTGTGTGTTGTATTTTAATAATTTTTTTACTTCCATATTTCAAAACCGAATGCTGTCTGCCTGTTTATTAGGGATGGGCCGGGATTCGGATCCGGACTTGGATTCGAGTCGAATCCACGCATTTTTTGGACTCGGATTCGATTCCGAGTCCACGTCATTTTTACCGAGTCTATAATCAATTCTGTTTTTACTAATTTACGCCTATATTTGTACTGTTGCCTCTATAAATCTCACTACATACCTTAACGAGTTAAAATTCAAGGGTAAATCTGTAAAAATATCCCTCACGTGTACTATAAACACTCCTAATAAAAGCGACAACAGATATCCAGATAATATAACGCATGTTAAAAACTATTGATCGCTTATAACAATGATGTTGTGCCAGTCGCCTTCAAACTATCTATCCTTTTTGATACACAATAAAATATGTGTTAGCGCAATATTTTTGAGTTTTTGATTCGCGTAAAAATGAAGCATGCTCTGGATCAACTCAATGGGGAATCTCATCGATACCTCTTTTAAATCGAGTTTATTACGTGCAATCCTTTCTATAATAAGGGAGCAATGGAAAGCATGGAGCGTTTTAGAACGTTTACATGAACTACTAAATTGCAATCATTGTATTGACGACGAGTGGCATCTCTCTACCATTTGCGCACG